TATTCAAGCCAAACAATAATATATAAAATAATAAATAAAAAATAAGACTTATTATGACTCCAGAAGAGTAATTTTAGATTTAAAGGGAAATACTGTGAAAATGTCCTTGGTTTGTTCAAGATCACATGGGAAACATTATTTTAAATTGACGAAAGGGCAAAACAATTGACTTCAGCTGCATCTGTTAAAGTTTACAGGTGTAAAAATGTACCTTGATGTACTTGAATGTTAAAAACTGTTATAAATTTTGAAAAATTGAATGTTATCCTACGACAATGCAAGGTTCCTTGTCAAATAAAGTAATATGTAAGATTATTTTGAGTTCAAGTTAATTAGCTTGTTTATGAAGACTGCAGAGTCATACATGAAAAAAATTGGTTCCAAACCTGTTTGAGTTTCTTTTTTCTCTGTTGAACACAAAAGAAGATTTTAAAGAATGTTGAAAATGAGCTAACTATCGACTTCCAGAATAGGAAAAAATAACATATTATGGAAGTTTGCTGCTTGTCATTGGATTCCAACATTTTTCAGAATATATTATTTCTACTCAAACATGTTTAGAAAACATTGAGGGGTGAGTGAATTAGGACAAAATGTACATTTTTGAGTAAAATGTCCCTTTAAATCAATTGGATTACATGTTGTGCATTTTGCATTCATAGTGCGCACACTTGTAGAACATTTACAGTATGTTTTGTATAATTATTGTAATTACTGTAAGCTTTTGCCTTTTATAATCCGTGTCTTATGTGCTAATGTGGAGTATAACTTAGGCCTCTCTCAAGCGCTCTCGATGTTGCGCGCACTCGCTTTCTTGTCCGCGCGCTTGCTTTCCTTTGACTTTTGTCAGTGACGGTGCTGCGCGCATCAGTTTCCTACATTCATCAGAAGTTAAGTCCCAAAGTGACACAGGTAAAAAATCCAACTTCATTTTTTAAAAAGTCCACTGTTGAATTTATTAGACTTTTGTTTTCAAAAGTGCTTTTAAAACTTTTAATATAGGACGTACTTGGCTATGCATAGGCTATTATTAATCAGGAATTGAGTGTACTATACATAGTTTTACGTTAGCAAATGCAGTCTTGAGTTTATAGCCGACAGGTATTGGAGAACAGATGTAACACACTGATAAAATGTAGTTTTCAGTCCCGCTCATGTAAAAAGTAATATTCAACTTGTTTAGCTTTGCCTTCATTTATTTTTTGTTTTTAGTAGTGAAAATGCACAAGTCTTCAAACATGATTTTTTTACAACATGATTTTAAACATTATAGTTTAACTAACATATTGCTTTTTTTTATATCTTTCCCATGGTGACAGTTAGTGCATAATTATTTACTAGATATTTTGCAAGATTATCTATTCAGATTAAGTGTAATTTAAAGACTTAATTAGATTATGTTAACTAGGAAAGTTAGAATAATTGGTCAAGTTATTGTACTGGTTTGCTCTGTAGACAGTAAAAAAATATAAATATTTCTTACGGAGGATAATAATACTGACCTTTTTATATATACTGACCATTATATATATATATATATATATATATATATATATATATATATATATATATATATTTTTTTTTTTTTTTTTTTTTTTAAATAACTGATTTTATTCAAGCCAAACAATAATATATAAAATAATAAATAAAAAATAAGACTTATTATGACTCCAGAAGAGTAATTTTAGATTTAAAGGGAAATACTGTGAAAATGTCCTTGGTTTGTTCAAGATCACATGGGAAACATTATTTTAAATTGACGAAAGGGCAAAACAATTGACTTCAGCTGCATCTGTTAAAGTTTACAGGTGTAAAAATGTACCTTGATGTACTTGAATGTTAAAAACTGTTATAAATTTTGAAAAATTGAATGTTATCCTACGACAATGCAAGGTTCCTTGTCAAATAAAGTAATATGTAAGATTATTTTGAGTTCAAGTTAATTAGCTTGTTTATGAAGACTGCAGAGTCATACATGAAAAAAATTGGTTCCAAACCTGTTTGAGTTTCTTTTTTCTCTGTTGAACACAAAAGAAGATTTTAAAGAATGTTGAAAATGAGCTAACTATCGACTTCCAGAATAGGAAAAAATAACATATTATGGAAGTTTGCTGCTTGTCATTGGATTCCAACATTTTTCAGAATATATTATTTCTACTCAAACATGTTTAGAAAACATTGAGGGGTGAGTGAATTAGGACAAAATGTACATTTTTGAGTAAAATGTCCCTTTAAATCAATTGGATTACATGTTGTGCATTTTGCATTCATAGTGCGCACACTTGTAGAACATTTACAGTATGTTTTGTATAATTATTGTAATTACTGTAAGCTTTTGCCTTTTATAATCCGTGTCTTATGTGCTTTATAACCTCGTTGACCTCTCTATTTTAGGACCCATCATTTCTTTTTTTGTCTAGAATGATATTCAGTTGCATACAATCAGATCGTATTCAATCTTGTCAGCATCAAAGATATCTTTTTCAGTGGAAAAAATCAGATGATGTGAAATCCAGGCTGAAATAAGGGGGATATTCCTACCACAGATGGCTCAAGTCTTTCTGTCCATCACATAAAAATCATATCCCTAGGGGGCGCTGCTTACAGCCGGAGAGAGAACGAGCGGGACAGAGGGAAAGCGTGAGGTGAGAGGAATGTGTTTGATGGAAAACGCAGCTGGGAAGCCGATTGTTCCAAACTCATCAGTCATGCTGGGGCCCACCAGCAGCAATCTCTGTCCCGCTTTCCACCACGGCGAAGCTCCTCGCAAAACTTCACACACAACACCTGCCTCTGTGATGAAAACCAATCCATTTCTGCTTAACCTGACTAATATAAACCATCGCTTATCGGTAATGTAGGGTTTTAACTTTAGGCATTGGCTTGGCGCCAGTGTCAAACTGGGGATAAGCCACGTTGACCCCTATGTGTTTTAGGCCCGCCAAATCTTTTCTGTTCACCATGAAGTGGCATGCTTTACAGTTGAAGTCAGAATTATTAGCTCTCCTGTTAATTGTTAATACTTTTATATTTTTTCTGTTATATTTTAATCATATTTTTAACTTCTGTTAACGAAGAAAAATTTCAACACATTTTTAAACAATAGTTTTAATTATTTCTTATAACAAATTTATTTTATCTTTGCCATGATGACTGAAAAAAATATTTTACTAGATATTTTTATCAGTATAAATGCTTAACTGGGTTAATAAGGTTAAACAGGCAAGTTAGGCTAATTAGGCAAATCATTGTATGCCTAAAAAATTAGCTTAGAGGAGCTAATAATATTGACCATAAAATGGTTTACAAATAATTAAAAACTGCTTTTATTCTAGCTGAAATAAAACGAATAAGACTTTCTCCATGCAGAAGAAAAAAATATTATAGAAAATACTTTGAAAAATTCCTTGCTCTGTTTAACACCTTTTGGGAAATATTTAACTGTACATTCAGCTATACATAATGATTTGGAAAGAAATAATAAATTAGGTTTGCGTTTAAGGATTCGTTGATTGTAAAATACAGTAACATATTCATGGCTGATTAAAGATCTGGATAAATATATTAAAAAGCTCAATTTTAGGTCAGTTTTTGAATGAATTGAAAAATAAATCATTATTTCAAGAGGAATATTAACTTGTTAATTACATATTATATTACAATCATATATTAAAAGAAAAAGAAATAGATTAAAACAATTACATAATAATCCTCAGTACTGAAAGCCGATGAAAAAATGAATGAATGAATGAATGAATGAATGAATAATGTGGACTTGATATCCAAATATATCCAACGTTTGCATCGAGATCCATTTTTATTGTGATTAAGCTTTTGCCATAAACAATAGTTTATCTATAATAATCAATTGAGAATTTTCAGCATCAAACTGGAATAAACCACATTGACCAGTAAGTTTTAGGCCCTCTGTTTCTGTTTCATCTAGTTGACAGACCACCAAAGTTCTGTTTCATAATAACAACTTATTAATGACCTGTATGACAATGCACCAAAACTATACATTGGATGAAATGTATGTAAATTTAACTGTAGGTATCACAGGGTTATCAGATCTTATCTGTAATGTGGGATTTAGGCATTGGATTGGCGCCAGTATAAGTTGAACCTTATATTTTAAGTCCTCTATTTTTTCTTTGAATCGTCTATTTGAAGCAGGATTCTATATCACCACCTGAGCTCTATTTCTGTTGCAACAATCAGGCACTTCAGGTTTTTTTTTTTTTTTTTCAGCAGCCCAAATGACAAGATTAACTGAGCTTAAAGGATGCTAGAAATCTTTTTGGAAAGTTGGCAGTGGCTGCACTAGAATGTCAATTACCTGTAAGGGAACTGAAGACATTGATCGGTGCGGACCGCGTCGACCCTCAGTCAGCAAGATTCATGGCAAATGCACTGTATTTACAGTCCAAGACGAACAACTGGTGACAGCAACCCTAATTCAGCACAAATAGGACAGCTTTACATAACACATTGGCAAACAATAGTCTGCCAAGAGACCGAATAGCTCTGTTGTTTTGATTTCCACAATATATCTTTATGGGAACCACTGAGCCATTCTCAGGAAAGCTGTTTAGGAATATGTGGCCTAGTTATCTTTCTTCCAAAACTTTTATTTATTATTTTGTGTCATGGCTTATTAATGCCTTGAATGTCAAAAAAAATTGGGGTGTGTTGTCAAATGGACTACAGATGAATATGGGTATCCCATCGCATATGTCCTACTTGTTCACATCAGATCTTTACGTTGTTTATTTTGCAATGTTCTTGTTATACATTGCATGTACTTTACAGTACAGTACATTCTAGTGATAAAAACATAATAATAACATGATTACAAGCACCTAATCCAAAACCAGTCCCAAAACACAACTTTATAGTAAGTACATGTTGTTAATCAATATTAATGGGCATTTAATTGTGCAATTACTGTATGAAAGGAACTTTTTACAAAACATTGTAACTCCCTTTTTCATTTATCATATTACTGAGTTACAATTATTTGAGGGAATGTGCTTTTTCTTGACTTCAATGATCAAATAATGGGGGGAAAGTAAGTTAATTAAGACCTAGACCTTTCTTTCTCTTTCCTTTTTGTGAAATTAATTTGCGAGAATGTTGCCAAATATTCCAGACTGAGAGTGGGACCTTTGAAAACCCCACATTAATCAACCACTAATGCCCCCCTCAACGTCCCTGGTGCCCTGCGCATGTTTGCACTGTTGGAAATTCTTGTATTCGTCAGGGAGCGTGTTTTGGATTACGAAGCGTTGGCCATTAGGAGCCGTGTGTGACCCTTGACTCTGGGGTCGGATTCTTTAGTCCCGCACACTTTGTTGGGGGCACTCTTTCTGTTCACATAAGGAATGCATATATTTCCCATTCCTGCTTGCTTGTTTTAAAGATGCTGCGCTTTGTAGTCATCTACCACAGCTGTCCTTCCCGCTCCCACCGTGCCACATGTTCCTGGTGGTCTTGCCCACAGTATTCATTACTTCATTAAGTGTGTTTGGGTGGGGAGAGCCCCTCTGTTTTCCCCATCAGACCGGATGCTGGTATATATGCGGGTGTGTGAATGTGTGCTCCGGCGGGATGGATTTGCTGCAGCTGGCTGTGACCATCAGACTGTGGGCAGTGGGCTGGTGCTGCTGTTTGTAGGGTGGGGTCATCCTGGATCTGAAGCCCCACATCTAGCGATCACTTTCTATCTGCCAACTCGATGCCTCAACCACAATGCCTCAATTTCATACCCGGTAGCATGAGGCCAGTCTTGTCGTGACATCTGGCCGCAAGATATGTGTGTGCAGGGCAGTTTGAAAAGAGTATAATGGAGATTATGTACCGGACACGTTAGCCCTATGAGCACTTGCAGAGTAACGGCAAGCCCGGAGGGATCAAGTAGGATTTTGACGAGCCTCCGATGGACCCAGATGTGTCTGTCTATCCACTGCCTGTCTTTCTGGTGTCTCTATGTCAGAGGCAGAGTGTTGAGCTTGTGTCGGGGGCCAGAGTGGAACATTTCCCTCCACCACAGCCAACCCCACGTCGCCCTCCGAGGCCCTGCTGCAAGGGAGTATGTGGAGGAAGAGTTTTGCTTCTTGTTCCGGTACTTCTGCTTTTACTGCTGGGACTTGGAGCCTGTTTGCTACTGCTCCGCCGGGCTCTTGTTCAGGGAGCCAGTCGCAGTAGGGAACCTGACTTGCTGGATCTCCTCAGGGGAGAGAATACGGAGGAGGTGCTCCATACTGAAGATGCTCCACGAATAGATGCCACTCCTGTCTCATCTCTCCGGTGGTTCCCAGAGTCTCTGCCGACACTCGCCCCTAGCACAGCCTCCTCTGAACTTACCTCCAGCCCAGCAAGCACCCTTGCCCTCACATCGCCCGGCAGTGCCCCACCCCCTCTGGGTAAGTGCCCCAAGTCTTGCTTGTTTACACACGAGCCTTGTTGTGCAATCCCGAGCAATAGCACTCTTTGATTTCTCAGAGTTGTCTCTGAAATGATTGTAGAGGACAAGACCAGGCACATCAGCTATGCAGCAGGAAGCAGGCTATAGAGAAGAAAAATAAAGAGCTGTTAATGAAAAGGGAAAAATACAGGACAGAGTTCACGCTAGGCTTCTGTTATAATTTCTCCCATTCTTTCATTATCTGATTGGTGCACGCTCAATGCTCTTTTTAGGAAGTTGGATTCTATGACACTTAAGTACATCATAGAATTTCTTTAGACAAAAAGCATGCAGACTAGTTTTGGCCTCCTGCCAAACTAGTGACTGGATAGACATGCTTAGTCTCATGTTTTTAATTTGCTCTCTTTGGAAATATGCAAACAAAGTATGTAACCATTTGTCAACATTTGAAGTGCATCAAAGTAGGCATGGGCTGATATAAGCTTCTGATGGTCTGATAACCTTAGATAAAAATATCACAGATTCACGGTATTGGGATTACTCCTCTAATATATGCTCTTCTTAAATTCCTGGTTAAAAAAAGTCCCCTTTGAGCACAATATATTTTACTTTGAGAAACAGTTGTAATATTTTGGAACTGTAAACATGTTAGGCTAAATAATTCAAATGAATCATTGACTTCTGCTGTCTTCTTTAGTTTAAAAAACAGATTTATTTACAATTTAAAATGACATCTTTGGAGATTTTTCTACTGGAGATACTGTTGTCCTGAAAAAAAAAAAAAAAAAGTTAACACATACCTTAGAAATGGTATAGCAGAAAATAAATGTTTTAAAACCTTGAATTAGAGATCTGCGCGGGACTAAATTTTAGTCCCGCTCCCGCCCGCACCCGCCAGGTTTTAGCCGGAACCCGACCGCTCCCGCTTATATTAAGCACTTGATGTCCCGCTGCCCGACCCGCCCCGTTTTCTATCCGCCGCGCCCGTTCCCGCTTAAGAGCGGGGGAGAACAAAACCGAAAATCACCCAGTTATACAGTCCAGACAGCCTATAACAAGCTGTCTGTGTAAACACACACACGCACAGCACCAAGCATACACACACAGACAAAGCTTTCTCTCTCATTCGCGCGTGCGCGCCCTTTAACACACACTCATAAGCACCAACTCCACCAAGCACAAACACAGGCAAAGCTCTATCTCTCATTCGCGCGCGCGCACACACACACGAACACACACATATCTCTCATTCGCGCGTGCGCATACATACACACACACACTGCAACAAACAAGCTAAACACAGCATCGCGCTATTTCATTTACACACATACATACGCGTGCTCACTCGGGAGTCGGGAGCGATATTGCTAGACAGCCCGCTCCCGTCCCAAATTAAACCCGTTACCGACCGCTCCCGTGATTTATTCGGAAATTTATACCCGCGCCGTAGAAATCTGGTCGGGTCCCGCGGCGCCCGCGGGACAGCCGCGGGAATGCAGATCTCTACCTTGAATTTCCAAACCTCGGTATACCTCGGTTATCTTCCCATGCCTACAATAAAGTTATACTAAAAATATTGAACATAGGGGTGTTAACCTACACTGGTCTCATGGTTTTATTCAGTTATGATTATCATCCCTTCGATTTGGTTCAATTCGATCTCTCTGTGCATCATGGTGCATTGACGATGCTTTCCATAAACAATTTGATATTTTACTTAGCAACACAATAATTATTGTATTAAAATTTTGAATGTATACATTTATTTATATATTATTTGTTATACAATTTTGTCCTTTTTAAACAAGTGGGCAGATATATGAACTACCCTTAATTTGACCTGCTTTATGTATCAAACAAAACTAAAGTACATGCACAGAACAACACAAGCATTTATAGCAAATAAACAAATGTAAATATTATCCCACTTGCTTTTTGAGCGTTGTCGAGCGGGTTCTTAAAAGCCTATGATTAGTCATGCGCTCAACAGAAAGGGCTGCGATTGGCTCTTGTGGTCCATAGCGTTGTCAGCAAACAGTAACACAGGCACTGTTAAACGAACGTAGTGATCAGCTGATCTATTATAGATGGTGACAGGGTGGAGAGAACTTGCTCTGCAGATACACTCGTGTTTGTATCTACAAGTAACGTTATTACAGCCAAGATAGGAGATAAAACGTTACCTCACGAACATGCCAGAAGGTCAGAAGCCACAAAGATTGAGAGAGTTTACAGCTTTAATATTTTCTTCTGTTGTACTGTTCTGATGTACTTCCCTGTCAGTGAAAGACTGTTCAGCAAACTCACAAGTAGTAAATTGTGCAGTTATCTGCTTTTTTAAGTAGTTTTATTATTTATTTATTCGCAGTCGCCTCCCTCTCAATAGTAAGCTACTGCCATATAACACATACTGTATATGATAAATGGCGTCAGTACATAATAACCGGTTATGATTTTTACTAAACAGATACTGAGTTGTTCATATCTGCATCGTAGTACATCAAAGAAACAATAAATTTTGATACCCAAAATTGAACAGCACCCATTTGTAAGACAAATTTGAAAACCTTTTTAATTCACTTCTAGGCATGGGCCCGGTATAAGATTCTGACGGTATAATCTTGGATAAAAATATCATGGTTTCACGGTATTGTGATCACTGCTCTAATATATATATATATATATATATATATATATATATATATATATATATATATATATATATATATATATATATATATATATATATATATATATATATATATATATATATATATATATATATTTAATGTCTGGATAAAAAACTAAAGCATTTTTCCCATTTGTAAAAAATATAATTTATTTTTTCAAAGATTTGTAATATTTTGGAGCAGTAAACATGTCAGGCTAAAAAATTCAAACGAATCATTGACTTCTGCTGTCTTCAGTATAGTTTCAAAAACACTGATTTCTTTATAGTTTAAAACGGCATCTTTGAATATATTTTCTGCTGAACATACAGTTGTCCTAAAAAAATGTAATTAAAAAAATCTTACGCATACGGTATTACAGAAACGATATTACAGAATTTTTTGACGGTTTTAAAACCTTGACTTTTCCAAACCGCGTTATACCTAAAACGGTTATCGTCTCATGCCTATCCACTTCAAATGTTGACTACTGTATGTTTTACGTGTTTGTCATGCAAGAGTCAATTGCTTAACCTGTCTTTAGGCATAAATATTGATATTCTATTCTAAGATCTGTGTTTTTTCCCATTGGCTGGTCCAGTGTCACATTTTACAAAGGTTTAAGCAAACCGGATACCGCATTACTATAGCAATCTCGCTTCAGGGAAAGCTCTGTTTCCTTTCAGGTTTTTCTTTTGTTGCTAGTGTGCGTTGTAGTTAATGCAAACATAAAGAGTCTCAAGTCCACGCTGAAGGTCTTAAAGAGATAATAGAATACACAGGGCCCTTAAAGCACTGAAGAATGCACCCACACCACAGCTGTATTCTGCATTTACCACACATGTATTTGTTTTACTACACTTTTCTATAGCTACGCTCTGAAAGGGAATTATGTAAAATAGCTCTGAGGATTATGCCTTACCTATAGGGATTATATGTTAGCTTGTGTGTACGGAAATACTGGTGTCTTTCATAAAAGATCTGCATGTTAAAACGTAGACTTTCTACCTTTTATTTTAAAAACATGGGTAAATCTATAACTTTATATTAACCGTATACAAGTTAAATAATATACAATATACATTTAAATGTTTAAATGATATAACTGGGGGTTAGTTCATTAAATAAAACATTTATTCACTATGGTGAGGAAATTATTTATTACATTTTGTATTTGCACACTTGTTCTTGAGCATGCAATCTTAATGCATAATTCCTGCAGATAAAATAACATCAGTTCTAGAGTTCAGCGCCAGTCTGCGACACAATCAAAACACCATTGACATCTGAACTCTGGTGCCCTGCAGTCACCAAAGCTGTTGCTACAAAACTGGTAGTGTGATAGCTGTTTTTTCTTTGCTTGCTCTAGGCCATATGATTTAGTTTAGAGGCTTTTAATAAATGCAGCGGTGCAGATATAAATGTGAAATTGAGAAGACCTTTCTGAAAGGGTTTGCCATCCCCTTTAAACAAAAGGGATGCACATAATGGTTTCGCATAATGGAAAGCACTCAAAAGCTGTAAGATTGCATGCTGTATAAATGGACCTCTTTGCAGTGATGGGATTCTGCTCCCAGCTGTAACAAGAGACATCTCCAGCATAAGGGGGGTGAGACAGTGAGTTGGTGTATAGGGGGTTGACCATGGCTTTACTATCATGATCTCTCAAGCATCGTTTGTCAGCCGCTGGAGATTTTTCTTTGACTCTTAAACTGCCAAAGCAATGTGGATTTCATTTAAACTAGCCAATATCATTGCTTTTATTCTTTAAACGTCCCTCCTGTTCCATTGAACTGAATTGGTGGTTTTATATTTGTGGTTCTGAGTAATTTATCTGTTAAATAACAATGCTAATTTAGGTAATAACCTCTTATTTTAGTTTTAAATTCAAAATCTTCTGACCTATGTCCTCTTTTAAATAAGAATTGGAAAGTTTAAATTGTTTATAATCATAAATCACAAAATCTGTAGTCATCAGACTGATATTTCACTTTTTGAAGATATTTTATTGAGCTACGGAATCTCTGAGACCACAAACGCAATAGGGTTAAGTCTGCAAATTAATAGAAAGGCAACAAGATGCCACGACCACCTGTCGGACAAGCCTACACTTATGGAATTACTTGTTTGGACGCGGTGAATGTGTCTCTAGAAGAAAAAAATAAAACACTTTCACAAAAGGACCTCTCCTTTCATTTTTATGACTTTCCTAGAACCCTTTGGAGAGTGCAGAAAGATAGACATGTTTATGAAACCTTCCAGATGGCCCCATTTTGCCCCCACCCAGGCCCTCTTTTCAGTTCCTTGGCCATGAAGGATTAATCAAACT